TCAACGCCGCGTTAAGCCGCGAGGGCCGGGAGATTTTGCAGCACTTTTACACCGCCCATGGCCCTCCAGTCGACCTTGTGACGGACGGATTTTCCCTTTCCCGCGGCCTCTGGCTTTTATCCGTGATTGGGCAGCATCCAAAACTCATGGTAAAGGCGGCGCGTTGTTTTTTGGAGTTTAATTGTCAAGCCTCGGAGTTGGCGAGGGCGCAGACGGACGAGTTGGGGGACTTGCGGGAGCGCCACCATCGTCGGCTTTCCTCCTTGTTAGAGGTGGACAGAGAGGAAGGGGGGAATTTGATTATCGACCGCGCTGTGATGCAGTGGTTTGTAGGGCAGCATCAGGCTGATTTGGAGGTTCTTCAAACCGCACATTCCACTACATTTTACGCCCTTGAACGGAAGCTTCAGCGCGCCTTTAGCGACGTCTTGCAGGCCGCCGCGTGGGAGGGAACGCGGACGGCCGCGATCGCGCACGCACCTAAGGGGGATCCCCCTTCCTGGGGCTTTCCCAGCCTTGAGGACGGGATGTATTATTCGACTAACCGCGAAGCCGCGGATGCCTTTCGCGATCGAGTTTGCGCGTTTTCCGATTCTCTATTTATTCTCGATGTGAGTTATTTTGCTCGACGTGGGGATCGCGCGGGGCCCGTCCCTGTCCGTGCGGTGGGGCTTGCGAGTCCGCCTTACGGCCCCCTCCACGGGCCTCAACCGGGCGATTCCCCCCGCCCCTCTTCTTTTTTATCCCCTTATCGGCAATGGGTTGTGGATCTTTCGCCGATGAGCGGGCTGGCGGGTTGTTTGACGTCTTTGGATGCGCATCGCGCGGCCTTTTCCCCCTTGGCTGAGGCCGCCGCTGTGGCCCACCTCCGGCGCCTCGCCTTTTCTCGCTACTCTATGCTCCTGTTGATTACCCCGGATCCACACGCGGTGGGGGGAATTTTGCACCCCGAGGGGGAATCCCGCGATCGCCCCGAGCTGCTTTTGGGGGCGCGGAGCGGTCAGGAGGGCTTCGCGGCCATTCCTGGGCATTCATCACTCAAAGTGAATTTTAACACGCGTCTGTGGGGGGCGAATATCGTCTTGTGGGAGGCTCCCCCCCCTGCCCTCCCTTCGGAGGCGAACAGCGCGCGCAATGAGTCTTTTGCCGTCCATCAAGAAGTTTCTGGGGAAAAGGCCCCGTGCGGGAAGGCTAGTTTACGGCCCACGGTGGTCGAGGAGGCGCTGCGGTTGGCCTTTGCCTGGGGGGTGGATATGTTTTCCATCGCAGTGGTGGACGATGGTGAATCGGAAGCGGCTTCGATCTCCTCGTATGGGCTTTCCATGGAAGTTCTACGGCAGGTTCAATGGGGGTTGGCAACGTTAGTGCGCGAACCATCTCCCACTCGGCCTCCGTATGGTGCCGCCATCGGGAAGGACCCTCTCCCGCGAACGAATCGGGATGACCCCAAAGGAGCGAAATTCGCGACAGCCGATGGTAACACTGGGAAGGTTTGTACAGTCGACAAGATAAGGGTAGATAGTGGAATGACAAATTCAACACCGATGACGAAGAATGGCAATTTGGAGGGCGCCTTTATCGGTCAGCCCCCTTCAGCCTCAGGCTCGCTATCAGCGACAAATATCATGTTTAATTTGCCCATGGCAATCCGTGTGTTTTTGCCGATCCCGGAGAAATACTTTTTAGACGATGCTGAGGTGGATGACGATCATGCGGAATTAAATCTGCGGGCCGCGATCGACACGCGGCGTCGATCTCGCACGAATGCCTTGCCTACCCACGCGAGTTCGGAAAGCGGAGGAGGGGTGAGCTCACCCGCCGCCGCCTCGATACTTCCCTCTTTCTTTTCACGCCACGGCTCTAAGTTGCCGGAGGAGCCTAACCTCGTTCCGTCGGTGCGTTCCCAGAGCACACACACCATTAGGCCGACATTAAAACAAATTTTGTACTCCTATCTGGGAGGTTCTGCACAGCTAAAATAAGCAGGCGAATCCTGACTACAACTTTTAGAGACACGGTTCGGTATAAATATGTGTATCACACCTTCTCGCCTGCTGTTTTTTAATTTGTTACAAGAGAGCCATTTTCATTTCGACCGACTTCTGTTTCCACTATTATACTGTGGTTGAATGCAAACTCCAATTTCATCTCTAGGAAAAGCAATCAAGCATTTAGTTTAATGAAGACAAGTCGTAATATATATTTACTGTGCCCTATTTTATACTTTTGTGTATGGATGTTGTCATGTTAATTCCCATTCTTCTTGGATAGATTCTATAGTATTTGTTAGGACATTATTTGGACTTTCATTTTTTAATATAATTATTTTATCAATACAAATTTACATTGTACAATGATCAAAAATAAATCTTTATTATGGAAAGAGGAG